TGAGATTCAATTGGCTTAATAACCTGGAAACTCGTTATTTTTTGTTATGGCAATTTAACATGGCTCCTTTTTTTATTTATACAATGTAAAACAACTTTAATCATCGAAAAAAATAAACGCATCTTAAAAATAAATAATTATCTAATCATGTGGCTTGTAAAGTTACACAACGAAGCTATAAAATTTGGTCCTAATGTGCAATATTGAAAACTTGATTGTTTAAATAGAAACCTAGTCGTTCTTTCTAAATATAGATCAGAAAGCAATGTCTAATTGTTTTGGAGAGAAATAAATCTATTGGTGAAAATATATAAAAGTTGGTTTATAGTCATACAGTAAAACCTCTATAAGTGCGCGCTCTTGGGGCCAAAATTTAACAACGTGCACTATGGGAAAAAGTGCGTTATGAATGTCATCTATATAGTTGGACCCGAATTTGAATGTGCATTTGGAGATGGTGTGCACTTATAAAGAGTACACTTATGAAGGTTTTACTCTATTACATATATGTCAATTATAATTGATAGGCGACTATGCCGCTTTGTAATCGATATAAATTTAAAGGAAAAGTCATCTTTATAACTTATGATAATTGACAGAATTTTCACCGATGCGTAACTTTATCTTTGTTAGTAATTTTATTTGAAAAATATGGGAATTATCTCAACAATCGAAAACATATTATTAAATAATATGTGTCTCATTCTAAATAACTATCATTTGTTATTCATTAAACGTGCCTGATTCATTTCAATCGAGAGCTGTGTAGGCATAACAGCCGCATAAGAACAGTGTGGTGCAACTATAAAATATAACGTAATATTTATCAATTTTCAGATCCAAAAGTTATGCAAAATTTAACGTTGCGAACTGCCCTCACCATATAGAATGACATTTAATCTGTGGCAAAGCGGTGGGTGAGCCAACAAAGCTAAGTGGCTATACTTTTAGGTGATAGTAGAGAAGAAACAAACAAAACAATGACTTTCGTTAAGCCTTTAAATACGTGTATTTATTCATCGGAACAAAAATAAATTGCTTTGTACGGGTTAGGTCGTATGATAAAAGATTTAATAGCATTATGTAGCACTATCACAAAATTCACAACTTTAATTCTGGTCATAATATTTTCCTTAATAATTGTCTATAGATTCCTGTGGCTATGTCATGATCTCTTGTTATTTATATCACACTTTTAATCAGTTCCATCTGTTAATGATTTCTTCATTGAAGCAAAGAAACTTACAGACTTTATAAAATGTACTTCCTGATTTGAAAATATTTAAGATTTAAACTCTTATTTTTAAAAAGCACTATAGCATTTTGTTAATTCTGAAAACCCAAATGAACACAATTAAAATCAAATGTAGCTTGCAAATTGCAATTTCTTCAGCCTACTAAGCCACGGCTTTGATTTTTGTCTGGTCTCGCTTATTTGCAGGGCGGACAGGCCGGCCTGTTCGACCAATAGAATTACGTTACAAATTGTGGTTGGGCAATTAATAGATTGACATCATGTTTTTTTTTTTTTTTTAATATTAATAATTAAAATTTAGTATAGAAAACAGCGTTCAATGATTTAAAAGAAGTTTTCTTTGCCAAATTTTATTATAAATTATCGCTGTGATCTGCTCTAGCTATAGTCTAATAATATAATTTCATATCCTTGATAACATAATTGCCATCAGTTATTATTATTATTTATTATTTTATTCACTATTCAGTTCTTTTGCGGTTTTTTTTTTTATTGTACACGCTGAGAAAGATCTGTCCAATTCGATTGAGTCGATATGTTTTAGTCTTTGCATCGACTTAAATTTTTGACATCTGCTTAAATTATTAATTGATATAATTAATAAATAATCTGCTCATTCCAAACGTGTGTACATCACATTTTTCATCGAGGTGACATACATTCTGTCCTTAGGGGTATTATTACAATGAATGAATGTCGTGTTGAAATGAGCGCAGAACATAACATTCCACATCGTGGAAAGAGAATACAAACCATTGTTTGCTCACCGAATTTTAAGTATGTTGCGACATTTAGCAAAGAAGGAAAAGATGTTTTTATGTATCCGGTCAATATGGATAAAATATCAGCACTACTCAATTATGCTCATTCAATTAACAGTAATGATAGTAATGATGATAAGATTTTAAATGATGTTTTTGAGCTAATAGCAGTCTCTGATTGTAAGCACATAATTGTTGAAACCTATAAAAAAAATGAAACATTTCACTGTGATTTCAGTAAGTATTTTATGTTATTTTAAATAAATTTTTAACTAATCGTTATAATTATTTTACAACTTTGTATTATTATAAAGAACTTATAGATATCGTGAAAAAAAAACCATGTAGTTTAGTTGAAGGAATACAAACAATTAACTTTCTCGACAATGGAGACGTAGCCTTTATTAAAGGAGAATTACTTTATATTTATTCAAAGTCCAAAATTCAAGACGAAATCTTGTGGATTTGTAAGAATAAGATTGAGCTTTCACCATTTATAAAATGTTTTATTTTTCCAAAAGGAAAGTTATTATTAGTTACTAATATACCCTTCATGATAACACAATTCGATCTGAAAACATTAGCAATTGAAGCACAGTATTTGTTAAACTGGGATATGTACGATAAAAACTCGGATATATATTTAGAATTAAACAATAACAATACTCTGTTAGCAATGGATGATATGTATATAATTAAAACATTCTCAACTGAAAATGGTATGCTTATTGCAGAAGGTATTATTTACTTATTATGTATATTTTGTTTGGTAGTCACAACTTTATTTATTTATTATTGTTTTAAATCTTAGATAATGAATGTTCATTTTATGAACATAAATATTTCATTACTTCAGAAGAAGGAGAGTGTTTAATACTACAAAAAGGAGAATGCTTCTTTATAACTGACCCATGCAGACTTAATAATAAAGTGAATGCGGATAAACTTTTTCAGCTTGATGGAAATGGTAATAATAAGAGAATACTATATCCTTGTATAGTTCGCTCTGATCGTATTATAGGCGTTTGTAATGGATATTTATGGATCAAAAAATTGGTTTACAAAAATTGGAAAAAATATTTATTCGAAGAATTTAATGAATATTATAAAGTTAATAATCTTTTCTTTGGGAAGGAAATAGAAAGGCATTTAAAAGAACCTCTCGGACTTGGTCATATCCGAGAATCGTCACCTGAAGACACTTTTTTTAAATGGAATTGGAGTTTTGGAAAAAAATCTTCTTACATTAAATGCAAAAGCATTTAATAGAATTGAACAAGAATGGAATCCAATTAGAAAAATAGAAATTAAAATTGATGGTTTTTTAGGTGCTGACCAAATTAAATTTAAATTACTTGAGAATAAAAATTTAATGGCAATTACAACTATAGGGGCCTTTATTTAGACTATCAAGTATGAAAAAGGAATTTTTCTGCAAGGGTTTTGGGGTTATCTGCCTATTAATGTCCAAAATAAAGAATCTGCAGACGAATGAATAATCAAAACTGCAAAAAAGCTCCTTAAACGATTTAATTTTTCAAATACAAAATTATTACCACCATCAAGCTTTGATACAATATTGCTTTTGGAAGATTTGAAGCCAGATTTTTATAATACTTGTTTCAAAAATTTTATAGATAATTATATTGAAAATGATAATTTTTTAATGGATTTGCATGGAAAGTATTTTTTCCGCAGTTTAATAAGGGCGAATAAGATTGAATTAATTGAAAAATTGTTCAACAAATTGGTTAAAAAGTGTGTAAACAAATTAGAAAATGGAGAATTCCAGAAATTTATTAGAATGTTAGATATTATTACCTTTTCATTATCAGAATTAGAGTTATCTTATAGACTCCATGACTTTACAATACGTTATCTAAAATATACTTCATTTTTACTTCCTAATAGATATAAAGATGATTTCCTTGATAATTGTTCATCAGCAGCACATCTTCAACATTGTATAGTGTTAAAAAATATAAGAAAATTCCTTTTTGGAAAACATTAAAATTATATCTTTCTAAATATTTTAAATATTATAAGGATTTAACGTATTCTAAACCTACTTATTCATATAATACTAATATTACAATCAAGCTAGTATTTCCTACAAAAAATTTTGCTACTTACGATGATAATTATTCTGTACTTAAAGAATTAATTTTACCACCTTATAATTCTTTTAATTCTTTGGATTCTCCTAAGTTTTTTGAATTCTGGTGTTTGCAAGCACTTGTAAAATTTAAATGGGAATCGTACGGTAATAGATTTAATTTTTGTTTTTCTTAAAATTTTAATAAAAACGTTTTTAATTATTGTAACTACTTGCTAATATTAAATTTATTGTCATATAGGAAAATATTATTATTATTATATATTATGGCCAACATATACAATCTTTATATTATGTTTTGTAATTACAGTTACATTGCAAAATGAAATTACACAAGACAGTCAGTCAATACTTTTTGGATTAACTATTCTTCTTGGAATTAACTATTTGCTTCATGAATTTCGACAAATGTTACATAATTATAAAATTTATTTTTTAAGTATTTGGAATTGGTTTGGTATGTATATACAATGAGTTATAAAATTTTTAAGTTTAATAATATTGTAGTAATCAGACCATTTATTCAAGACATTGAAGCTACATTATTTCCAACCATCACCTCTATTATGTGGTTTCAAAATGGAACTATTTCACTTTGGAGCGTTACAGTTTCTACACTATTGCTTGAACACAATTTTTTATTCTTTTTTCGCCCTACGAACTTTCTTGAAAATTATTTTGCAATTATGATTGAAGTTGGAAAAAGGATTTTTTCATTTTTAGTTGTTCTTGGATTTATTGTTTTTGCTTTTGCACATACTTTGCATATCAATTAAGACCTATTTCAAATTATTCGTTTGATTAACCGAGCTATACCACTGATATTAATAATCTTTAGAACCTTGCAACAAGATATCAATCTATTCTACCTAACGGAACTATTGAAAAAAATCTATCTCTTATTAAAACACCTGATGGTAATACAAATATGTTTGCAATATTAAATACTGCAATAATAGCAGTTTATTTTATGCTAACAGATATTAATTTTATTAAAATAGTCTATTAACTTGCTAGTGTTATTTAATTTTATTGATTTTATTAGATGATACAAGTTCAATTTCTTCATAGGTTTATAAAGAAAACTGGACATTAGTAATTTTGTTGATTATGTTTTCTTTTTTTGCTACAATTTATTTAATGAATTTGTTTATTAGCTTACTTGGTGTGGCAGTTGATGAAACAAATAAAGAAGAATCTTTTTTATATTTAAGATCTGAGGTATTGATATATTTTACTTTTATTTACACTTATAAAAATTTAACTGACTTTTATTAAATATCTAGTTAATATCTGAAATCGAACTTTTTTATATGTTTTCTTATCAAAGACGTAAAAAAGATTGGTTTCCTGACATTTTGTAAGCTTTGTGTCTGTATTTTTATATTGAAAACATATATGAATTTAATTTGCACTAATAATATATTCCTATTAGATATTTTGAGGTTTCAAAAGATAAACTTTATGAATTGGTTAAAAGTATACAAGAAAAACTTTTAAAGGTCTATATGAACCATATCTTTCAAAGTCTATTTGTGAAATAGTTGGTATAGAAAAGGATGAGATTAGTAAAAATTTTGATGATATAAATAAGAATTTTGATGATATAAATAAGAATTTTGAAGATATAAATAGAAACTTTAAGGATAAATTTGATATTATTAAAAAAAAGTTTGCTGATATTGATAAAAACTTAATGGATAAATTTGATGCTGTTGAAAAAAATTTTGATAATATTGAAGAAAAATTTACAAATTTGACAGAAGAAAAAAATAATTTAGATTTATTTTAATATATATAGATATATAGCATATTTTTAATAAGAAAAAATTGGTATTAATATTAATATAGCAAATGTTAACAAAATAAAAGGTTTTGCTTCTAAATTGTATTTGAAATTTATAATAAAAAATACATTACTGTGATCAGATGATCACCAATCACACGAAAATCTTAAAATTTTCTTAAATTCTTCATTTTTTAAAAATTGTCACACAAAAAGTCAAAATTCCAAAGATTTCTTGTCAAATTCCAATTCTTTAGCACAACATCCATTAGTATCCTAGATGTTGCTTTGTTTAGCCAAGTGGTTTTAATGTTCCTTATGTATTTTAGATCGCTAGTGTTGAAAATTAAAATCATTTCAAATAAATTAATAAATAAGGTAACTGCGAAATGCCGTCTCACTAAAAACTAGGAACAAAGTGTATGATTATATCGCAAATTAAGTGGTGTGTGTCTGCAAAATCCTGCACTTTTGATAATATATGTGGCAAAGCAGGGACGTGAATGCATATCAGGAACTTCACATGTAGCTATACATGGGGGTCGAAATTATTTTGCTCATGGCGAAAATTAAAATGGCGAAAATCATTTTTGACAGTCTAAA